TAGGGTATTAAGTTCCATTCTCTTGGTGCATGAACAGCGAATGCTGTATCTCTGTAGGTCTTGGTATACGATCTAGGTTGCATTAAAAGTTCATTACTAACAGACCTCAGTGATCTAGTATGAGAGCGATAATGTAGTTTCTGAGCTAAATAGCTAGGCGAAGCCCCATTCAGTGATTTATACACGAGGAGCAGAATCTTGTAAAATAATACGATATTGAATCGGTAGCCAATGAAGCTCGCACAAAACAGGTGTGATTTGCTGAAACTTAATCACTTGCAACACAACTCTAGCCGCCATGTTTTGTACATACTGCAATCTTTGTAACTGATACTTAGGTAGGCCGTATAGTAATGCATGACAATAATCTAGTTCCGATGAGACAAATGCATGAACAGAAATAGACGGCAATAACCGTGGACAGGGACGAGGGTCTTGCTTATCTCGGAGAGATCTGATCAGCTAGAAATATCTGCAACAAAGAAAAGAGAAAATCAAAAGACTGCTGTGGCAAACTAGGTGAAACAACATGTGCAATATTTCAGCCTTGTTCATGGGTGGTCGTTTTATACTTAGGTTTCTCAAAACGTTAGCTAGAGCGAAAATACCATAAGATATTCACTTCTGCGTTAATGCTTCGTTAGAACCTCACTGCAGTGTCTTAGTGTAATTCCCCTAAACCATGTTATGAGCAAGATTCAGGAGATAATTTTGTTCATTGATTATTTATTCAAAATATTTCTCCGTTTCTGTTTAACTAAAATTCCCCGGCTAATTGTTCATTGCCAGCTTTTGTTGACCAAATTTGGAAGACGTTTGCGACATCCGATAAAATGACATCAATAGAGTACTAAAGTGATGACGTCATAAAAATGAAATTTCTGAAATTATGGGATTTGTCAGGATATTATGAAAGAATAATGTCCAAGAGGCCTACTTGCCAAAAATGAGCATTTCGGGGCAAATTGTATCTGAGCTGTTAGCCGGTTATACTCAGAAAACTCCATACAAACCCTTCTTATTTTGTTTTGGGTCGACCCCAAAAAAATTTAGAAGGATTTGTATGGAGTTTTCTAAGCATATAACTGGGCTACGATCTCAGAAACTAAATCCACTGGTAATCCGGCACTAAGCCTTCGATGGACACATAAAGAGGACACATTGTTACTCTACTACGTTCGCCACACGAATTTCAAGGGAGGCAGCGCCTTTCGGTTAGAGAGCTGCACTTCTGGAGAGGTTCGGAGTTTAAGTCCCGCTCCGACCGTTTGGATTTAATTTGTTCTCGGTAGTCCCGAGATCAAATCTTCGGCCACGCGTGTAAATAGCCAACCGGTTCGCCTCTTACCAGTTGGGATTCTTAACTCCTTACTGTTATTTTCCATTTAAATATATTTGTTTTGTTATTCCTGAAGCCCCACAAGGGGAGAGAATAATTAAGTATTTAATTTTAATTTCATTTTTAATTTAACTTAGTCCTGTGTTTTTCTTAACCTCGTTCCCAATGCTTTTCCTCCTCCTTGCATAGTCCTAAGATACAGAAGAAGAAAATAATGCCTCGCAGCTGAACTCAGTACGTTTTTATTCATTTCTCTGCAGTTCAGGGTCTCTAGTATAAAACAGCGTTTTGAATGATTTTAAAATGGCAAATCAAATCGAAGTTTCCCAAGGAATGTCAACAGACCATACTGGTACCTCTTTCTGTACTAATTCAGCTAAAATTTTTCGAATAAGCTTAAAAAGGAGAAATTAAATGTTAATCGTTTGAAGTTATAAATAAAATTGTGTTTAAACTTTTCATCACCTGGATAGTTCTACGTCTTTTTTTTAGAACTAGAATTTTGTTTATCATCAACTATATATCTACTACAACAAACGTGATCTGGGTGTGAATACTAACGATATAGCACGAGCAAAAAATGAACGTATAACGGATGACGGAGATCTTTCCATCCTCTCCCCAGTCAGTTGGATCGGGAGAAAATGACTGCCCTCGGGTCTCCGAGGGTGAGAACGTCCTGATTTTAATTATTGGGTTGAGTGATTCATTCTACACTGAAAATGTCAGGTGCGATGTGGGAAAAAATGAGACAGATTCGTACCCTATACGGGAGCCCATAACCGCGGTAGCACTAACCACAATTGAATGTCATGTCACTTAAAAAATGCAAACAAACTAGTTGTAAAAAGCTTGGCATTCAATAATGAGGCAGTTTTCTTAGCGACCAAGTTCAGTTCTAGAAAATATACACGCTGTTCAGCCCGTCAGCTGGTTATGTTTTGACTTCCCGGTATGTCGTCACAGTATAATAAAGTACCCTTCCTTCTTCCGCGAATTCAAAACAGTGAAAATTTTTCTTTTACAGCGAAACCTGTATTAAACGGACACCGTATTAAGCGGACACCCTCTATTAAGCAGACAGTAGCCAAAGTCCCCAAATTTATTTCCCTTATTTACTTTAAATGAAACCTTTATTAAGCGGACACCTCTATTTAGCGGACGCGGACACCTAAAAAGTACCTGAAATGGTCATTTCTATTGTTGCCAACCTGTATTAAACGGACACTTGTAATCAAATTCCACCACCCAACATACCAGACACCAGAAATGCGAAAGATTGCCTCGAATTTCAACTCTTATATTCATAACCTCTTTATCTATTTCTCGAGTGCATGGGGTAATTGTTCCAATTATTTATTGTCTCGTCTTCTTCTCCTTCAAAAACGTGCAGCTAGATTGCTCCTTGATGCCGACTACTCTCAACCATCTGTAAGCTTATTTTCCAAACGCAAATGGCTGCCTATTTTCGACCTTATAAAACTAAGAAAACTTGTACTTTTGTTCACTATTCTTAATAATCCGTCCTGATGCTCCTCTTTGTCTTCAACGTAAATTCAATTTCTTGTCTTCCGTTCGCTCAACTGGTCTGCGCACCAGAGCTCGTGCTTTTAATCTTCAAGTTCCATACCCTCGGTCTAATTCTGGAAAGAGCACTCTACAGCAACAAACCAATGAGTGGTGCTGGATCTCCCAGTTGTAGACCTGGATCAGTACAATTAAACTTGTAGAAAAATATGAAAAACCGAAAAACCGAAAAACCAACAGGCATTAGGCATGAGTTGCAGTCGTAGGCCACTCGCCTCCCACCAATGTGGCCGAGGTCCAAATCTTGGCCATCAGCGCCATGTCAGTTACCTTTACAGCGGTGATCATATTGGCGTGAACACCTAAAATATGTCTGGAATGTTTATTGTGTTGTAACCAATCACAGACGAGATCATCACACCAAAGAAACCACAGGCAACGAACGGTTTCCTATCTGTCAGGGAACAAATTATTTTCATTTTGTTTTAACATTCAGTCTTTTTACAAGTAAACAATTGCTTTTCCTTCCTATTTGTTTACAGTATGCGCTATACTGTAGCGATTTTGAAATAAATTACAAAGCCGATGTGCCGGGCCTACGCAAGCGACGGTTTGGCGCGCGAGTTTTCAAACTTGTACGCGTACGCGTGAGGGAGAATCTAATCCGGGAAAACGTTTTAGATCTTCACAACAACGGTTTGTCAATCAAACAAACCGAAAAATAACACTGCGTGACTAGACAAACAAAAACAGAGGAAAATGCCAGAGAGCTTTGACAGCTGTCAGCAAGTCTAATTTTATTTCCCGCCTTTATTGCGTATCTAAAAATACCGTACGTTGCAGGTGCGTGGGAGAATTGCTCTATGCACCTATCAAAGTAAACCCCGTGGTGGGGGAGTGCGGGCAAGGGGTGGGGATTTGACAAATTTTAAAATTTTTTGATCAAATTGCCCAGGGTGGGAAACGAAAGGTCAATCAAAAGTGTCAAAAAAGCCCCCAACCCGGGGGAAAAATCTAAACAAACAATACTATAATACTATATAAAACGAATAAAAGAACATTTCAAAAGTACGTTCTTACTACTTTTATTTAAGGTTAAACGTAAGTTCCGTTAAATTACTCGCTGTAATTAAGTATTTTCTCTCTCCACTAGCATCTCTTATTTTGAACAACATAATCGCTCCAGGAAGATTGACCGTGCTATTATATTAATGAAACGTAAAATGCTTTATAACATCTGCTCAACATGTCGGAACAGGTCGGATCAGTGACCCGTAAAAAATCCTCTGACTTTCATGGTAAAATTCGATTTCAATGGAGGTTTACAATCAGATGGGAACTTGAAGATAAAAACTTTCTCAAAATAGACATTATCTGTTTAGATGACAGTGTAACGTATCGGATTATGGCGATTAAAACAAATGAAAACTTCATACCTTTCTCCAACAGCGTGATTTTCAGAAAGCCTCGAGGGACGGACTTGGTAACCGNTTACGAAGTTTGATTGGTCAGTTATCTCTTCTTCTCGTTCCAAATATGGTACTTTTGAAAATGAATAATCACGAGCATAGGACAAAGCAAACATATGAGAGTTACACGTTTCAACCCCTTATGGGTTTCTGATTGTATTGAATTACCACCCACAAATTTTTCAATTTTTACACTAAAAACGTAACTTTACGAACTTATTTGATCAGTTTCACAGTACAGGATTGTTTTCTACTTCGTTTTGTTTGTATAGAACTTGTTTCACTCATCTGATTTCTTCAAATTTGAGTTGCAATCCATGTTTATGGTACTATGATTAATTGGTTCACTTTGATAAAGAAATTAATGCAAACTTCTATCGTCATAGTCTCTGGGAGTATTATAAACGCTTCCACTGTTCATTTGAATGGCATTTGAAACCTCATATGACGTTATGTATCGAAACCTGTATTAGGCGGACACCCTGTATTAAGCGGACACTACAGAATTCCCCGAGGGTGTTCGCTTAATACAGGTTTCACTGTATTTATGTTTTTTTTAGACGATGGGCATTGAGATCGATCTTATTTGATAACCGCAATTGCGCTCAGACGGCATGTCTCGTGCTCGGTTTTCTCCGAAAACTAAGTAACATACCCCCAACAAACTTTTTGAAATCACTTTTGACGATTTGACGAACCTCTTTCACTTTCCACCCAAACACAACAGGGTTCAGTGATGAATTGAGCATAAGTAACACAGTTGTAAGTTGTACGGCTCCGTGTTCCGCGGCGCTTGGCCGAGAACTCGCTACCAACACTGTAAAGGCGATTAAATACGGACAGTAACAGAATAGGAATACAACAAATACGTAAAACGTTTTGATGGCTAAGGCCTTGTTTCGAGCCATGTAATTGTTTGTAGAACTTGACAGATGTATTGCGACTTGAGCTTGACTGTTTATGCTCGCTGCGTGTTGGCGTGCCACGGAGAAAAGTTTAATGTATATGATGCTTAGTAACAGAGTGGAACAGTAGCCAAGAACAAGCATAATTACCTCTCCGGCTTTGAAGAATCCAAAAAAGCACAGAAAAGTGGAAGCTAAGCAGAAACTCCACGATACAATTATTACAGTAACCACTCGCTTTGGAGTCACTTGTTCATTGTATCTAAGATGTAAGTAAATTGCAAGGAAACGGTCCACTCCGATGAACGTCAGTGTCATAAACGATGCGGCAATTAAGGAAACTTCTATCAGGAAAAACATCGATGTGATATCATGGATTTTCTCGCAGCTATACTCTTTGCGAATTCCTGATATGACTGCGATGTAAAGCGGATGGCCTAACACACCAGTGCCCAGATCTGTTAGTGCTAAACACTGCAACAGAATTCTCGTCGACGGAGGAATTGATGAAGTTTTCCTCAGCGCGGAAATTATAGTCACGTTGCCCAAAACCGCGGTTAGAGAGAGAAGGCCATTAAGAACACACATAATAATATAAAGTGGGTACAGATCCTCAGGTTTTCCATAATAGTTTGTCAGAACCTCGTTGCAAAATTTGAATGTTACTTCCATTTTGAATTACAGCCAGAACTGTGCCAAAAAACAACCCGTCTGTCGTGTCAAAGTTCAGTTTTGGCTGAATTGACTTGACGTTGATTGAATTGACGTGCTAAGTGACATACGGGGGGATAATATGCTCAAATGCTTAATTCTCATTTGATTCGTTAGGAAGATATAGGCCTCCACTGGTGGCGGAAATATAGGAAGAGCCGTCTCCATCAAATATACAAAGTGGCTTGCCCACAAATGAGTTTTTAAATTTACAATATGGATAGATAACGATAGTAAAGCCCGTAGGGCTTATCTACTTAACTCATTTTTGATGCAAGCCTTTCTGCTGTATTCAAGGATCCACACACTCACTGACCACAACTGAGACATCCAACCGCCGAATGGTTTGAAATAAGTCAGAAGTATCTCCTAATTTGGAGCTTCTCTAAAACCTATTTATCTGTTCGGATGTCTAAGGAGAGCTTTGGTCGTCTTAAAAGTTTTACGTGGCTTTTTGGTCTCATCCGGTCGAAAATTCGAGGGCATGGAGTAGCTGTACTTTCATTAGATGATTTAGAGGACGTTTGTCTTGAAACCGAAATTTCAGGAGACCTCTTTTAACAACAATATAGTCATCATCATGGAAATATTTCAGCAATAAAAAGAAAAAAGAAAAGAAACCTCTGAAGATTTTCAGTAAGTTTGTACAAAAACTCCGAATATCTTAGACAAGTGGAACTTACGGTTATCAGAAACTGAAATTTTAGCCTCTCTCGAGATTTAGAAATTTCTCGTTCGAAAAGTTATTTTACAGAAAAAACGCCGTTGGGTGCCTCTGCCCCAAGTTGGCTGGATGCCAGTAAGCTGTAGATAACATCATTTTTATTGGCCAAAACGACTTATTTGAATGATGAGGTATAAACATTTAATTAAACTATATATTTTTACTCTAATAATTTACCATCTGAGCAAAGTTTGCTGGAGACCATCCAGATAACATCATATAACATTCTGTTATTTGATGAGAAAGGATAAGTAGGTAATTAAATATTATTCCCTTTAGCTTCTCAAACTCATTAATAATTCATTAAGAAAATACAAAGGAAATTAATGTTTAATGAATGTTTGGAAATCGGATGAAACACTGCTTAGTATTTGCATCCTTAATTTCTCCTTCAAAAATGATTTTGTTTGAGAAGAAATATCAAACATTCGACACAGTGTTTCATCACCAGATGAAACACTTCGAAGTTCGTCAAAAATACTCCGCTGCGCGTCGTATTTTCAACTCTCTTCTCGGTGTTTCATCTGGTGATGAAACACTGCATCTCATGTTTGATATATTACTTACTAGACTAAATAAGAAAAATAAATTCCATAGTATATATTTTTAGAAGCCTATATCCGACGCAAGAACAACGTTAAAAGCCAGAGCAAGACCGTCTCTGATCAATCCTCTACCATCGATTATCATTTCTACGCCGGCCTTTTCAAACGGAATGTAAATAGATCTTATTTAACCTTAATTTGCTTCCTCCCTTTCAAAGTGAATGTTTTTCATTAATTCACCTTCAACATTAGGAATAGTTGTAAGAAGGAGAAATGTTGATCATTTTTCACTATTACTAAACTTATTAAAATAATCATACCACACTCACCTGCTCAAGTCAACGTTTTTTAAATTCTCTTTTTGTAGTTTAACCGGCTCATATTGCTTATCGATGATGCCGACGAAATGGAAGAAACTTAAAATAAATATATATATATGGTGCATGTGCCAGGTAACTTCACAGCTTTTTTCGAGAAAATAAGAATTTTCTGCTCAGCTTCGCCTACGCTGTACAACATTATAATAACAGTGATAACTTCCCTTGGAGTTGAAATATCTGTTGTGCTGTCGTAATAAGGTATGAATATGAGAAATATGCAAAAAATAAACAGCATCTTAACTAAAATTAAAGATGTTGTCGCCTTCAGGGTTGCCATAAAATGGATTTGCACTGCTCCTTGCAAATACTTTGTCACAAAAATATAGGAGTAAATATGGGGCAAAGATGGTAAATGCCATATTTGCATACCAAAACAACAGTGTGTGTCTAATAACTATGTAAATGCCAGGCTTCATTTTTTTTGCATATGTGCTTTGTTTTTATTCATATATAATTTTTGTAAATGACTTGCGACAAAAATGGCTAATTTAAGGTCTTAATGGCCGAACGAAGCTTGGTTAACAATTGAAAGGTTTTGTGTTCAGCAAATATGATATTCAACCAGACAATAAAATAGAAGTGTCTCTCCCAGCTCTTCCCTCTTCCTCAAATTTGCCGACAGAGATTCTCTTTTGAGAAAGTCTTCCCAGTCTGTACGGATTTGCCTGAAAGGCTCGGTCGCCAGGAGTAGAAGGGAGTGTGCGTTGTCTGGTAACAGTAAAGTATAGGCATATTAAATATAAGTATAAAATGTCAGCAAGTCCACAGCAACAAACCAATGAGTGGTGCTGGATCTCCCAGTTGTAGACCTGGATCAGTACAATTAAACTTGTAGAAAAATATGAAAAACCGAAAAACCAACAGGCATTAGGCATGAGTTGCAGTCGTAGGCCACTCGCCTCCCACCAATGTGGCCGAGGTCCAAATCTTGGCCATCAGCGCCATGTCAGTTACCTTTACAGCGGTGATCATATTGGCGTGAACACCTAAAATATGTCTGGAATGTTTATTGTGTTGTAACCAATCACAGACGAGATCATCACACCAAAGAAACCACAGGCAACGAACGGTTTCCTATCTGTCAGGGAACAAATTATTTTCATTTTGTTTTAACATTCAGTCTTTTTACAAGTAAACAATTGCTTTTCCTTCCTATTTGTTTACAGTATGCGCTATACTGTAGCGATTTTGAAATAAATTACAAAGCCGATGTGCCGGGCCTACGCAAGCGACGGTTTGGCGCGCGAGTTTTCAAACTTGTACGCGTACGCGTGAGGGAGAATCTAATCCGGGAAAACGTTTTAGATCTTCACAACAACGGTTTGTCAATCAAACAAACCGAAAAATAACACTGCGTGACTAGACAAACAAAAACAGAGGAAAATGCCAGAGAGCTTTGACAGCTGTCAGCAAGTCTAATTTTATTTCCCGCCTTTATTGCGTATCTAAAAATACCGTACGTTGCAGGTGCGTGGGAGAATTGCTCTATGCACCTATCAAAGTAAACCCCGTGGTGGGGGAGTGCGGGCAAGGGGTGGGGATTTGACAAATTTTAAAATTTTTTGATCAAATTGCCCAGGGTGGGAAACGAAAGGTCAATCAAAAGTGTCAAAAAAGCCCCCAACCCGGGGGAAAAATCTAAACAAACAATACTATAATACTATATAAAACGAATAAAAGAACATTTCAAAAGTACGTTCTTACTACTTTTATTTAAGGTTAAACGTAAGTTCCGTTAAATTACTCGCTGTAATTAAGTATTTTCTCTCTCCACTAGCATCTCTTATTTTGAACAACATAATCGCTCCAGGAAGATTGACCGTGCTATTATATTAATGAAACGTAAAATGCTTTATAACATCTGCTCAACATGTCGGAACAGGTCGGATCAGTGACCCGTAAAAAATCCTCTGACTTTCATGGTAAAATTCGATTTCAATGGAGGTTTACAATCAGATGGGAACTTGAAGATAAAAACTTTCTCAAAATAGACATTATCTGTTTAGATGACAGTGTAACGTATCGGATTATGGCGATTAAAACAAATGAAAACTTCATACCTTTCTCCAACAGCGTGATTTTCAGAAAGCCTCGAGGGACGGACTTGGTAACCGCTTCTGAATTGATACCAGGCTTCTATCGGTCAAAGTCAAATGTCCCGACCCCGGGGTCGCTTCACGATCAAAAGCCCGACATGGGGATAATCTCAGGCATCAAATCCCCTNTCTTGTGAAAGTAACCCTTTCATTTGTTTGAAAATGACATATCCATTAAGCTTATTTTCTATTGTGGTGGAGCAAACCCTTTTTTTTCCCCTTAACTGAGTGCATGTACACTGTTAAGAGAAACAGTGATTGTAGGACAATGACTACCTTTGTTAACCATTTTTGACACAGGATTATGGATTCCAAAGGAAGACCTAAGGTTTTACAATGATTTGAAGTGAAATCTTTTTGTGAAATTTTATCCTTAGAAAAGAATTACAATAACTGGGCAAACAAGTGGTATCTGATGGGTGATCACTAACGTTTCTTGCTTCTGTCATGTTTCATGGCCTCTGCTAGCCAATTATAAATTCAACTGTTGATTGAACAAGAGAAATATATTACTTCAGATGTAGCTAAAGGAGACCAGACCTACATTTGTTTACTTTTATGAAAGAGCAATAAATCTATGCAGATTGTGATTGATTTGAGTTTGTCTCAGCGCATTCCTGAGTATAGTGGACATACTAGATTTTGCAAAGTGGTGAAACATAAACCAGTAATAAATAAAAAAAAAATACAAACTTCACCATGATTGTCTTAAACCACCAATAACTTCTTTCTTTCAGTAAGTATCCATTTTCTTATTGGTTGGTTGATTAATTGCCAAGCTAACAGGAAGTCAGGCACATTGTAATTTCTGTTTGTTGCATACTAATAGCTTTCAGGAGCATTGTCACATTTATATCGTATGACTATTCACTTAAAAGGACCACTATAATAGTTGTCCTTATGAAATAACTGAGGCAAAGCACTTTGATACATTAATCATCCAAATCATCTTCTTCTGGTGTGTTTTCATCACCATTACTCAATTCTATTCCTCATCATTGTCTTCCTCGTTGCAGTCATGGATACCAGAAAAAAGCTTGTGCTTGTGGTTTGTCAGCCAGGTGTTACGCAGTGCTACATCCAACTGGTCAAGAGGACTCTTTGTTACATTTGGAAATGAATGAAGTGTTCTACATTTTTGGTACTGAAAAGGTTTAGCCTGTTGCACGATAGTTAACATTACTTTGACATCTTAATTGCGTGGTACAAGCATGAGTGTGCTTGGTTGACTCTGGGTGTATGCCACACTCATAATCATACTGGGTGCAACATTCTTTAAGACTATATGCTGCAGCAGAACATCTTTGGGCAGCCTTCAGCGTTTTGTTTCCACACAGTCCCCTAAGAGAGACCTTGTTGTCTCCAACCAGGTGTTCCATTTTTAAGTCATTTGCATGATTGGAATCTTCTCCTCCATTTGTTAAGCCTCTTTATTGTCTGCAGAATAATAAAATACAAATTACCAGATCTGCATTTGTCTTTGGCAAGATTCACTACGGATAAAATTTAACCAATCAAAAATAAAGGATAATGCTCGTCAAAGCCCCAGTATGGCTGAAATAATGCACATGAAAGCAGAGTTAATTGTGATACATTAAATACCCTTTCAGTAGCATGTCCAGCACTGAGCAATATACTGTTCATCTTCTGTATCAAGCTTAGTTCTTTCCACCGGGTAAACATTAGTATGCCATATGCAGTACAAAGTGGGGCAATCTACTTTGCACTGTCTTCATGAGCTGTACATTAATTGGAATTGCTGCAGCAGCTAGGACATCCAGTACATCAGGGACACACTCCTTCATTTCTGTGATAACCTTTTCCCGGGAGATTAAATTCTTTAACTCCTATTTAGAAATCAACTTGAATTAGATTAACAGGTTTTTCTAGAACGTAAACTTATACATTTGTATGTTATCATTTTATTTCCCTTAATTAAAAAATGCATCATATTTATTTATTTTTATTTAGGGTTCCAAAAGATTATTTTGATCAAATTCCAGTTTCAAGTGAATTTTAAATTTTATTGGTTAATTACAATACCTGAAAGCATTTTACTTTCTACACTAGCCCTTAACCATAAGGTTGTTAGTAATTACCTTGTGCTTGGAAGGTGGAGTACGCAGTACAGATGAATTCTCAGCACTCCTGTTGCAAAGTTTCTGACACTGTTCATTCACATCGTTCAAGAACAAACACTTATTATATAACTGCATTTCTTAAAGGTAGGCATTGCATGATTATCTCAGCAATCTGATGGGTTGTGGATCCAGTCAACATCAGTGTGGCAAACGTGTCAACAGTTTTGGTTCCCTCCTCCAAAAGTGGCTCATCTTTGAGCTGATATAAATTTTAAAAAGCCAGAAAGAAAAATATACTAAAGTTAATTTCACTATTAATTTTGTTATTTATTTATTTAGTTAGTTTCTTTTTGGGTGAAGGGCAGTCAAAATTGAGTTCCATAAAATTACAGACATTCAGTAACTGTTTATTGTCTTTATCCATAAGGAATGACTATTACACATAATAGATGATTAAAAAAGAAAAGTAGAGCTTACTGGTTACTTACATTTTTGGCTNACAATTTAAGCTTAAATCACAAGAACCTGAAAGTACTGCACATTTAATGCCATGGGTCTTGTGAAAGTAACCCTTTCATTTGTTTGAAAATGACATATCCATTAAGCTTATTTTCTATTGTGGTGGAGCAAACCCTTTTTTTTCCCCTTAACTGAGTGCATGTACACTGTTAAGAGAAACAGTGATTGTAGGACAATGACTACCTTTGTTAACCATTTTTGACACAGGATTATGGATTCCAAAGGAAGACCTAAGGTTTTACAATGATTTGAAGTGAAATCTTTTTGTGAAATTTTATCCTTAGAAAAGAATTACAATAACTGGGCAAACAAGTGGTATCTGATGGGTGATCACTAACGTTTCTTGCTTCTGTCATGTTTCATGGCCTCTGCTAGCCAATTATAAATTCAACTGTTGATTGAACAAGAGAAATATATTACTTCAAATGTAGCTAAAGGAGACCAGACCTACATTTGTTTACTTTTATGAAAGAGCAATAAATCTATGCAGATTGTGATTGATTTGAGTTTGTCTCAGCGCATTCCTGAGTATAGTGGACATACTAGATTTTGCAAAGTGGTGAAACATAAACCAGTAATAAATAAATAAAAAATACAAACTTCACCATGATTGTCTTAAACCACCAATAACTTCTTTCTTTCAGTAAGTATCCATTTTCTTATTGGTTGGTTGATTAATTGCCAAGCTAACAGGAAGTCAGGCACATTGTAATTTCTGTTTGTTGCATACTAATAGCTTTCAGGAGCATTGTCACATTTATATCGTATGACTATTCACTTAAAAGGACCACTATAATAGTTGTCCTTATGAAATAACTGAGGCAAAGCACTTTGATACATTAATCATCCAAATCATCTTCTTCTGGTGTGTTTTCATCACCATTACTCAATTCTATTCCTCATCATTGTCTTCCTCGTTGCAGTCATGGATACCAGAAAAAAGCTTGTGCTTGTGGTTTGTCAGCCAGGTGTTACGCAGTGCTACATCCAACTGGTCAAGAGGACTCTTTGTTACATTTGGAAATGAATGAAGTGTTCTACATTTTTGGTACTGAAAAGGTTTAGCCTGTTGCACGATAGTTAACATTACTTTGACATCTTAATTGCGTGGTACAAGCATGAGTGTGCTTGGTTGACTCTGGGTGTATGCCACACTCATAATCATACTGGGTGCAACATTCTTTAAGACTATATGCTGCAGCAGAACATCTTTGGGCAGCCTTCAGCGTTTTGTTTCCACACAGTCCCCTAAGAGAGACCTTGTTGTCTCCAACCAGGTGTTCCATTTTTAAGTCATTTGCATGATTGGAATCTTCTCCTCCATTTGTTAAGCCTCTTTATTGTCTGCAGAATAATAAAATACAAATTACCAGATCTGCATTTGTCTTTGGCAAGATTCACTACGGATAAAATTTAACCAATCAAAAATAAAGGATAATGCTCGTCAAAGCCCCAGTATGGCTGAAATAATGCACATGAAAGCAGAGTTAATTGTGATACATTAAATACCCTTTCAGTAGCATGTCCAGCACTGAGCAATATACTGTTCATCTTCTGTATCAAGCTTAGTTCTTTCCACCGGGTAAACATTAGTATGCCATATGCAGTACAAAGTGGGGCAATCTACTTTGCACTGTCTTCATGAGCTGTACATTAATTGGAATTGCTGCAGCAGCTAGGACATCCAGTACATCAGGGACACACTCCTTCATTTCTGTGATAACCTTTTCCCGGGAGATTAAATTCTTTAACTCCTATTTAGAAATCAACTTGAATTAGATTAACAGGTTTTTCTAGAACGTAAACTTATACATTTGTATGTTATCATTTTATTTCCCTTAATTAAAAAATGCATCATATTTATTTATTTTTATTTAGGGTTCCAAAAGATTATTTTGATCAAATTCCAGTTTCAAGTGAATTTTAAATTTTATTGGTTAATTACAATACCTGAAAGCATTTTACTTTCTACACTAGCCCTTAACCATAAGGTTGTTAGTAATTACCTTGTGCTTGGAAGGTGGAGTACGCAGTACAGATGAATTCTCAGCACTCCTGTTGCAAAGTTTCTGACACTGTTCATTCACATCGTTCAAGAACAAACACTTATTATATAACTGCATTTCTTAAAGGTAGGCATTGCATGATTATCTCAGCAATCTGATGGGTTGTGGATCCAGTCAACATCAGTGTGGCCAACGTGTCAACAGTTTTGGTTCCCTCCTCCAAAAGTGGCTCATCTTTGAGCTGATATAAATTTTAAAAAGCCAGAAAGAAAAATATACTAAAGTTAATTTCACTATTAATTTTGTTATTTATTTGTTTAGTTAGTTTCTTTTTGGGTGAAGGGCAGTCAAAATTGAGTTCCATAAAATTACAGACATTCAGTAACTGTTTATTGTCTTTATCTATAAGGAATGACTATTACACATAATAGATGATTAAAAAAGAAAAGTAGAGCTTACTGGTTACTTACATTTTTGGCTTGAATGTTTACTTCCAAACACAGCAGGATGGTCTCTAAATTAAGGTCATCTGAAACTCAACAACTCAACCATTATGCAATTAGATTATAAAAGAGCGAAAAAAAACATTTAAGTAACCCATCAAGCATTTTTTTAATAATATTTATTATAATGTTAATTGTGTGTTTCAAGCTAATAATATAATCTATATTATTTATATTTGCTTTAAAAATACAGATAAGTATCTCTTTGATAGCTAATGTAAGCCACTTAGATCTTCGTAAGTTCTGCTCTTCTTTAGGTCACGTCTCGTTTGCGGGGATCTTCCCGATGGACTCTCTGCCGTTGTTTTCCCTCTTTTGACACGTAAAACTGACTCTTGTTGTTGCCTCGAAAACGCTATAATTCTAAAAAATTCCTGGAACTTCACCTCTTTGTGGTGACAACATCTACAGATATATGACGGGAGACCATCGTTTAACGCAACTTTTAACTCAAAAAACCTTTCCAGAACCGAAGGAATGTTTTCCTGTGATGCCTTTGCACCAAATAAATCTCAAGGATGATTCTTCACAACTATGTTTTCGTTGCAGGTTCGACAAACCCGGGTTGCTGCTCTAGTTGGTGTTTTCGGAGGTTCTGCCATGTTGTAGGTTACCTGGACTTCCGGTTGTTACGCTTTTGTCTTTCAATAGCCAATAGGAATTGGCCCTGAAATCCGATTGGCCAGGGGTCCCGATTTTTCTGGCGCATGACAAAAGGGACCCCTGGGGACGAGGTCGAGCAGCGTGCAACAGGGCGGATAAAGGTTGGGCGGTGAAACGAGCGCGTCCGAGCAAAAAGGTGTGATGCAGTGGACTGGGACTCTGCTTAGAAATCTCACTTGTTTTCGACTTCGGTCGGGGCTTGCGATGTGGTTCGTCCATTAGACACTGCCGCTGTCACTGAATTATGGCCCCTTGATTCGTTTTCTTGCACTTTTTCCTCGTTCCTTTGTGCTGGCACGCTGTTTCCGAGAGGCAAATGTTGCTATTTTTTGCGGGAGGTTTAGTTGGAATAGACAAACATCTCTCTCAAAGGGTTTCTCTTATTACTTCCATGACTCTACCACTGAATTATATTTTCGTGGCAAAACTAAAAGACAGCACATCGTGTTTCATAACTAGATGACGTGTATTTTATAAATGCGTTCAGCTCGTGCAAGGTGAAATTATGCTAATTTCAATCACCATCTTCCTTCTTTTTAATTTTGTAAAAAAACATCTCATACGTCTTTCTGTTTCTTCGAAACTTAGTTATCGAAAATTAGTTTCCCCTCAGTTTTTACTGTTTACCTTGTTTTGTCTTAGAGAGAAAAACAGAGTAAACACCTTACAACTAACCTCAAAAAATTTTGTTTACATGCAGTTGCCGGATTTGCGACGCATTGCGCGAATCGCCATGGCGCGTTGCACCCGAGAAGCAAAGTTTGAAGCAGTACAACGCCACTATTAGGCCTTTCCCGATTGCGCTCGTAAAATCCTAAAATAGTGCTGGCAAAAATGTCTAAAAAGTGCTCAAAAAGTGCTCAAAATCTCAAAATAGTGCTCAAAAAGTGCTAAACGTTGTGAACAGTTAC